GTAATAGAGACCAATCAGGAATCAAATGATTTACTCATTGAAGCTATGACGAAAATTATGGAGTCATATGTGAATACGGCTCTGGGCATAGCTTTTGGTCAAGATATTAACCGAACTGATTTACCAGCTACAGAAAGTTCCCCTAGTGTCGAACATTCAGAATATAGACTTTCAACTGATGATTTAGCTATACATGTTGAAAATGTAGTAAGTGATATAGCCTTCTGTGCAGATGATAAAAATATTGATGATAAAGTAACACAGGTAATGAGATTTTGTTAGTTAAATTATTTTTAGTTACAATGAAAAGTTTACTTTTATTTTTTATCATTGTTTTTATGCGTATTATTGCTCTACAGTTTTATTCGGTAGTTAGATAATGTTTTGCATTTGGTCTTATTTTGCCTAGTATACGCCTGAAGAAGCGAAAAGAAAACTTGACAAAAACGATGTTGCTCGTTACGAAGATGCTTTTCTGACATTAAACCGTGAGTTGACCTATATTTTTTTTGTAAAAATGTATTCCAATTACACATAACTCAACGACAACTTTGCTATTTTTAGGTGATTATGATCAATGTTCCGAAGAAGAAAACGATCCTGTTTTACAAGATTCTAAGGGAATATTAATGCAAGATGTAGAATTAGAAGCATCACCCACAGCTGATGATAATGTTATAACAGATGAGACAAAAGTGGTATATGACTGTATCCACTGCAGCGATTTTTATATCTATATAGTATATTCGATATAATACAAAATTTTATTGTTATGCAGTGCAAAAACAAGGAATTGTCAGCTATCTCAGCAGTTTCAGCGACGGCTAGTTCTCGCAAAAGCAGTTTAGTACAAAGATGCAGAACTCAAGGTGCAAGGTTGTTGGCTTGCCTCCGAGGCTGGTGGCGGCGCAAGACTCCAGGAAGACGCAAGGTTACAAATAATTGACATAAACACATTTTTTAAACAACCTTGTTGACATGTAAGTTTTAAAATTACACGTTTAATTAACATCTCTGAATATTATAGTGATATTCCTATAACATAGACAAACTATTTTGGGTAACCTGCTACAAATTCATTATCAAATATTTGATAAAAAAAATAGTAGGTATCAGTTGTTATACAATCGATTTGTCATGAGTTTTCTTTAGCTAATAATTTCGTAGTCATTCATTCACATTGGAGTTAAATACGAAATATTTCACAAGGACACTAAAATGACAAATGAGTTTACGTTAATTTAAATATATCACAGGAAGTTCGGGTCCCTGGGTCAGTGCGCGGACTATGCCCCTTGTCGCCAGATGCCAGGCGTCGAGCAGTTAGCCTTCTGGATGAAAGTCAATTAGGCTCCTCTATGGACTCTGCCCAACATGTGTGGAAATTCAACACTGTCAGCGGGGTTTTCGTGAATTCCTCTCGTTGGAAAAATTATACATTCGAATCCAATCACGATGAATGCAGAAAATAATTTTTGCGTCATCCTTTATTTTTTATAGACCATGACTTACATTGTAATGTTTAAAGGAGTTCTCTGGTTAATAAAAACTAAACAGCAAGCCACATTTATCATTTCATAGAACTTGTTATATATTCCAGAAAAGCATATCGTAATTATGATAGAATGTCATCATTTGCTAATCAAAATAAAATGGACACCTTCGTCCCAAGAGTAGGTTTTAACACCTTTATCATACTGATCGATCGAAATAGTTTTCGTAAATGTAGATATACCATTGCAATCGGAGTCAGCGTAGACTAAGAAAGTGTGAGAAAACTCTTTGTCCCACTCGCTCTTAAAGAACTATACGTGCCTGAAGTTGCCGCGGAGAGAGATATATCGCCGAAAATAGAATGGTCGCGGATTCCTGGGCTAAATCTCAAATATCCAGACGGGTGCGCCATCTAAGCCAGTTAAAACAGTCCCGCGAAAAGTTATCGAGCTCCACTTCTTGTCTGAACGTCTGCCAGTGAAGACCGGGAGGGAACCAAACACCATCACACAAAATGGTGAGTCATCACGGCAGTGAAATTGTGAAAAGGTGAACAGTGAAATATGGACTGTTAGCTTCAAGTGTATAGAAAGGGTGAAGCGTGTTCTTTACTCGTGATAGTTTTCCGCAGACCGGAATCTCGCGAGCGACCATACATAATAAATAAGTGTTGTGCCTCAGTGAAAAACATGGTATCGTATACCTTCGTTGCTCACACACAAATACACCTGCAGTGGCGGGATGCTACAACAATACACCAATAAAACTACAAATTACATGATAAGAAGTAGAACATCAAAGTAACGAAATATTTTTGGTAATTTTCAGAGCGACCTCAGCAAGAACGACGTTGAAAGTAAGTATATTTAGTTTAAATAAAACATTAACATAATTAACACCGTCTTAACAAAAGAATTTAATAGCTTACTTAGCAAAGTAATAGGTTAGAAAACTATTGATCGCTTTTGATTATATATAATAGCAAGTTTATGTAACTTCGATTTGTTGTCAAATTGGCATTAAGCAGTGTCCATATGTTGAATAGTGTTACTGTAACATTTCTTAAAATGAAATTGATGTATCTATGTTTAGAACGTTTCTCATAAAAGGCGCGCGTTGCTATGAGATACCGGCGGCGCCAGTGGCAGGGCCACGTTGCGTGTGCGCTGCGTTCCAAAATTAAACTATAGCGTCACGTGATCCGTTTCGCCGCCCGCCCAAACAGAGAAACTCTGCTCGGATTTCACTGCAACCCATCAAGCATTTTTAGGCATGAAGTGTAGCGCGCGCTATTACTCTATACTTCATAGAGCATACAACGGTTTTATTTTTATTCGGAAATATCCGAATTAAACTAAAGATTTGTTGTTATTATAAATCGGTTGTCATTATCAAGGTCGTTATGCGTTCTAATCAGCTGATCTACTAACAAGGAATGGTTACACGAACTTCAAACGTTTTAAATGATATGGAGGAATGTTGTAAATAGTAAATAAAAATTTTCATTGAAATATAATCTTCAATTAAATGACATACTGACTTTGACCTCCGTCGGAAAAAAAGAATAATGCAGAATAGTAATAGATTAAATATGAAACGACAAAAATATCTAGATAAAGATCATGTGGATTTTCTTTGAAATTAGGGCAGAGGTACAATCGGGATATAATTAGATTGTGACTCAGGAGTTCGCAGTGAATATATCGAAACTGGCGGAGTATTATTCTAGGCGAAGAATGCCCGCCCACGATCAGCCTACGCGCTACCTGGATTTTTAACTGATACACAGATATTTTGGGAGTATTGCTAGAAGATATTGATGTTATGTTTTCAATAAACCAATATCTAATCAATGAAATGATTATTTTTATTTTTTTGATAGTAATTTAATTACACATTGGAGATATGTGTAGGTACATGAAGAATCTTTGCTTATGAAATTTCAACCCTAGTCTTTCTATAATATATCGAAATGGTGATTTGTTTTTGTTACCTACTATCAGAAAAAAACTTAGGCTTCAGAAATTACCAGTAGGTACTATTTGAAATAAGTTGCTTTTATCATATAATTCCATACAATAATGTTTATAACACAGTAATTTATAATAATAGTTATCATTTCTTTACTTAATCGAGTTGGGAGCGATCGTTAGTGTAATTTTTTTTGTATAGGGGCATCTTTCGCCTTCTCGATCTACGACTTCGATGGCTCCGGCAAAATCGATGCTTACAACCTTGGCGACGTTCTGAGGGCGCTCAATTCCAACCCTACACTGGCCACCATTGAGAAGCTCGGAGGCACCAAGAAGAAGGGCGAGAAGACCCTCACGGTAAGCGTTTAACTAAAGGTAATAGTGACAAAAATGGAGAGTTTCCTAATGGTTGCTATTTCAGTATGTGAAAGTACCGAGGTACACTGAGGGTCAGAAAAGTTTGTTTCCGAGTGATGTTTACCGTTCATACTTGCATATACCGAAGTATCAATCTTTTTTTAAATGTGCACATTTTTGTCTCGAGCTTTTAGTCTAAGCACGGGCGCTAAGTAGTTATTGTAATGAAACGTAGTTTAGATAAAGACTGATGTTTTATTCATCCACATTACTATAACAATATTATAACTTCAGGTGGTATTCGTATCCACTTTGTGGATTTTTGATTTGAGAATAAAACGAAGCATCTGAATTTGCTTCAGAAAGCGTAATTTTAAGAAGAACTTTATAATTTGAAGCTTTTGCAATGCAAATATATGTCGGAATTAAATCAGTATTTGATAGTTACTTTGATGTATTATTTTATGTAGAGAATGTTTCTTTTGTAATGCTATTTGTTATTTATTTTAGACATATTAATTCTTTATTAAGTTAACACAAAAATACTCATTACTTCATGTTACAATTATTTGTAAATATGACTAGGTACATATTTCTTGGAGTAAATAAGGTTGAGCAGTAATACGGAATATTGATTCCATTAAGAGTATTAGGTAGAGTTAGCTTTTACTACATTATTATCAGTCCAAGGAAACAGTTCAGTGCGTGCGTGTGGATCGTGTAGATAGACCATCTGGGAATATTTATAATAACGAGTGATCTCTGGTTTATATAACAGTGGAATTTACCGGAAGTTTATTAGCACTATGAATATAGGTGATTTAGTTGAATGGCAAAAATCACAATAAAGCAACTACAGACGGAACAGTTATGAAACATTAAAAATAATAAGAAGATACATTATTGTTCATCTCTTGTTTCCTATGATAAAATAATGGCATTATCAATGCAAAATTTACTGAAAATTATAATTGGTTTCATCTGGGCTAAATAATAAAATATGAACAAAGTACAGCTGATAGTATATGTATGTGATGGATGAAATAATATACTAGTTTGCTGCTGTTGTTACAAAATGAATATAAAATGTATACTGTAGATATTAGCAAACTAAATAATATTTGAAAACACTATCTAAATATTTACAAGTTGTTACATTCAAGTTGAAACAAGAAAATGAGTAATCAAAAACAATTTCAGATCGAAGAGTTCCTTCCCATCTACAGCCAAGCAAAGAAAGATAAGGATCAGGGTTGTTACGAAGACTTCTTGGAATGTCTGAAGTTGTACGACAAGAACGAGAATGGACTTATGCTTGGCGCTGAGCTAACACACACCCTCTTGGCTTTGGGTATGTAATATCGAGAAAGTGGTACTCTGTTGCAATGATTTAATGTCCACTAATTACATGATTTATGTAACTGTAAAACTACAAAACTTCCACACACATTCCGTATCCACATGCAAGATTTGCTGTGCACTGCCCGCAAATTCACAGACACAAAGGGTAACAATTCTCTCAATTACTTTACCCGTGTTTTGCGCCTCGACCTTCCAGTGCCTATTTGCAGTCAGTTAGACACACGTGTCAAGTGGGAGTTGCAATATTTGTTGCCTTAATTGCTTGTGCATGCGAATTTATGTGCGGGCCGTGCACAACAGTTCTTGCAGAAACTTGTGGAATGTGGAAGTTGCTATATATCGTAGTTTCACAGTCACAGCAATGGATTTCCGTAAGATAACGCCTGATTTTCTTAAATGATTTGTTCTGGATTGACTCAATTTATAAAATATAAATTTATAAAATAAAAAATTTCAAACAACATGTCTTTGGGCCCCGTACGGACGAATATATCGTATATATCGTAATCGTGAGAGTTAGGTAGTTTTTGGTGTTACCTTATGGTTTCAAGGAAATTCCTTAATTATTCCCTGGAAATATCGTAACATTTCCAAATGAAAATAATTATTGTACATATTTCGTAAATCTGCTATTTATAATTATTATAAAGAGATTTGTGTATTGCAAGATACACTTCAAATTCAGTAAAAACATTTTATGTACTAAATATTAAAAATTACACTATTAAACTATTAAAAATACCATTGTGAATACAATACCGATACAATATTTTTGTTCTTTTTGTAAGTTTCACGATATATTTGTTAACAGTAGACAAGCGTTGATGATTATTGTTTTAGTTTGAAACAGAATATTCTCGAGGAGTTCCCGCGACTTTGCCCACGTGACCTGAGGGTACTGTGTGCACACTGACCTGCTAAATTGGAGTCTAGTCTTGCCTGTAATCTTAATTAAAAATCTGCCAGTGAGCATCCACCTTGATATCATCATCATTAGCTAATCAATGTCCCCACTGCTGGGGCATAAGCCTGCCCAATAGATGGAACAAATTATGGAAAATCTATCGGTGTTTCTGTGTCTTCATAGAGTAGTCCAGTTGCTCTTCTTTCCATTTTAGTGTGCAATAGAATCGACACATCTTGCAAAAAATTAAAAAAATATTGTATTTGTTTTGTATTCACAATGGTATATTTATTATCACATAATATATTGGTTTAGTATACAGAATCTTAACCCAAAGTGGCTTTCTTATGTGCCAAACTATACTTGGTTACAACCTTGTATTATATTTCAAGTTCTACTCCATATTTTTAACATAATGGCGTGACTACATGTATATATTTTATTGTTTATATTTCAGGTGAAAAACTGAGTGACGCTGAAGTCGATGAGGTAGTTAAGGATTGCATGGACACCGAAGATGATGACGGCATGATCCCCTACGCACGTAAGTATCTTAATCGTTACAAGTAGAATAGGTATTTTCTAATTTGTCCAGACCTATTTGTATTAGTTTAGTAAAACTACACAATCGTAATATTTGATACATATTTAAGTATAATGTAAATTAAATATCGGCAAATATGTAATTATTATATCAAATGCATGAGTAAAATCCTTTTGCCTGCAATAAAATTAAGAATCCATAAAAAAGATAATGTATAATTCCATATTTTGAAAATAAATATCCTTATTTAGTGGTTTGATTTTTACCTAGTATGAATTAAATAAAACACCCCGCATGAGGGCATATCACGCAGATTTGCATGTGTTCCCATTTCTTACCTAATATACCTTTACAGCATTCCTGAAGAAGGTGATGGCGTAGAAGACCACAATCTCGTCATATCTTTAGTTGTAAGATCGTAAGTGAATCAAAAAGATACTGCTGCCGCAAATCTATCTTGCTTCGCCGGTGCTTACTGTGTTACTTTTGTGATAAACTTTTTTATGCTTGTTTTCTTTTGTTGTTCTTTTTTACTCTATTCTTCGTATCAGTTCGTATATTTAGTTTGATAAATTTCATTTATACTTTTAATATCATCGATCTCAGTGTTTTCTAAACTTATGGGGTTATTGTATATGAATCTTGCAATTGTAAAACATGTTTTCTGAAAATTTTCAAACAGCTATAATTAGTGTCTGGTGTGTATATTGTACTATAATAATCCCGTAATGTTAATTTTTTAATTATTAACGGAGAATGAAGTATGAAAAGATTGAATATTAATCGTACTATTCATCATGTTAACAGCTTTCCTACGGAAAATGTGCGACGGATGGGGTGCAAAGAAAGAGGAGGAGGCGGCGCCCGCGGAGGGTTAAGCCCCGACGTCACGTCCTAGCCGGATCCCGGACGCCGGTCGCCGGACGGCGCCCGCGCATCAGCCCCGCCGCCCGCCGGTCGACGTCCACCCCACCCCGCCGCACAGCCCGTATACGTCATCTTAGATACGGAGTCAAACCCTTTTTTTATACGCAACATCAATATTGTACAATTTACTATCGATGACTGTACATACTAAAGTAAGATTAAATTAAACTACTGTAAAACACACGTTGTACGTGTCTTTTAAATTTATTTATTTATTAAGTTCGTTTATAATGGCAAAATACATAAAAAAAACCGTAAATTATTTTATAATAAATTGTTAAAATGCTCGGTCTAGTCTCTATTGATTTGACAAGTTCTCACTTTAGTTTTTTCATTACCCTAAATAGTTAAATTTGAATGGAAAAATAGGCAAATAAAATATCTCATTTCATATAAAAGATAAATACTGAAAACAATTCAAAGTTGATGATGTTAATATGTTGATTTAAGTAATGACTTGATTGTAAATAATTTAGTTTCATGGTGAAAATACTTTTGAAAGGGAGAATCTTCGCCCTTTCTTGCAGAATCATACTAAAAAGTCCTGTAGTATTCTGAGACTAGAAAATAAAATGAATATTTATACTACACGTATAGCTTGTTACATATAAAAGTGTGAGACGGGAACATATGAAAATGATATCTGGTTAGGAGGTTATGTAATCAAAAACTTATGCAAAAATATTGTATCATTTAGTAGTAATTGTGTATAGCACCTACTAAAATCTGAGCCCAATACCCAGGCTCAGATATACATTAGTTGCTATACACAACTGTTACCAATTGATACAATATTTTCCTCAATATAAATTAAATACTCTCCATGTTCCATGTGGCTCTTAAAACCTTTGGCTCTAACTGTATATGTTTGAATTTGAACAAGGATTTTATAAAAATAGGTTTCTTCAACTATCACCATCAGCCTTCTAATGGATTAAAAGGGCCATTCTTCATTTAATTATAATAATAAGAAAAATCATTGACATATTCAAAGCTGTCGATATACCCAGTGTGGTCATTCGAAACTGTCTTTACCACGCGTTTCCAGTGCGAAGTCTATGTTAAGATGCAATCGAGATCGACAGCACGTGGTTTCCGAAGCAGGCAGGAGCTAATTAGTTATTAATTTGACCTCTTTTTGGGTAATACCCTAAAACTCTGCAATTACAAATTGACAGCGCTTTCAGTGGCATTTAAGTATAAAAAAAATATTTTCATGTGAACAAAGAGAAATGATTACAAAACTTGGTAAAATTTTAATACACAACAATTCTATGTTTGTGTTCTCGATAAGCTCATTAGTTGTTGTTTCGGTAAAGGTACCATTCAATTGGAGGTATGGCAAAAAATATTTTCGCTCCTCTACCAAACCCATTAATTGCAGGATTGGGAAAAACAATTCCTGCTGCTCCTAGCTAATCGGAGTACCGATCGAAGGACTGGGAATACAATTGGGAATATAACCAATTACAACCATATTACAAAACAATTTTGTATCAAGTTTAGTGATTATTTTAATGTTAATACCAAGAGAAGAGTCACTAAAGTTACATTGGTGTCCTGTTGTATAGAACTAGTTTAAGGTTGACCAACTGTCTTCCTACTCGTGACACGAACAATTTGCCGAGTCGCATAACATAAAGGTCTATTATATATGGGGGTAAGCATCGATTATAGGGTAAAAGTCGAAATACTGGTTTACTACAAAGGCGAATGATAGTTTCAAGAAACTTCTTTTGAATTCGGGCGACGATTTATATAAAATTTTCTTTATACTTTAAATGAAGTTTGTTGAATTTGTAAATTACCTGACCATTCTTGAGGCCAATTTTTTTACTGCACTCCCGTAGTTTTACTGACACTGATTTGGTACTAATAAATTCTCTTCGAGAATTGGTACATATACAAAATAGATGTCAACTTATTTTAAGCAGAATCGAGGAGGTTCGTGCGGAATTTTAGGTCTATATTCTTGACCAACAAACATAAAGAAAATAGATACAATGATTAGTTTCTGTGAACATTGCTTCTAGCGTGCAGAAAATATTATTCGCACGTCTATGTTCCTGAGTGAAAATATAAAAGTATGCTTTTAGCTGTAGGTATAATAAATTATTCACGGTAGGCCGATTCTACCTTTGTAGAGTATGCACAAAGCTGTTTCAGCTATTGTGTAATAAATTATTGCGTTATTGAGTATTAAATATTTGTATTTTCAGATTTATAAATATAAGTAGGATACTAGGATTCTTCAATCTCATCAAATGAAGGTGTAGAGTTGAGAAATGAAAGAAGGATATTGATGCAAATAAAATGATTACGATATTACCCAACAACAAAAATGGGTTCTATTTTCTAAAGAAATGTATACATTTTTCTTTAATATGTAAATTGGACAAATCATATGCTTAGATGCCATAATTAAGTTGATTTTAGAATTTGTATTATGAAAATCTGAAATAACGTAAGCATTACAATACTCAGACCCGAGACAATAAATAAAAGTTAATGTTCCAACATTAATCCGTATGGGAATCGAACCCAAGAGCTCCAACATGACAACACCCCGGCGGCCATGGCCGTGGAGAGTATTAACAATTCAGACACGTACGAGTATATTATCGACGACAAATGTAGTAACGAGTTCAATAACAGGATCTTCAAAAGGTAAGTTACAAATAACAACAAAAGATTATTCAAGAAACACAGGCGATGAAAATTATTATCATTGTATTTATCGTAGGGTATTTTTTTTATTTTCGCTGCAATCTCCACCATATATTATTTTACGTTGAAGATAAAACGGAGTTTTTCTAACCTAATTTAGAGCGACGAACGCAAACCTACCTCGATCTCCCGAGAGAAATAATGTCGTATATTCACTATATTAAAACTGTAGCTATACTGTCCCCTGGGTTAGTATTGTTTTCGTAAAATTTCTTATTGTTCTGGTATGTGATACAAAATAAATGAAGGTATTACTATTATACTGAGTATACTATTGACAAAATAACGTCGATATTGGTAGATTCTTTGTTTGCTCAGGTACAAAATTATAGATGGTCAAGCGTTGGAACAATTAATGATCACAGGGACTATTCATTATATGTAATTGTATTAAGCTCAGTTAATAGTGATAAGTGCAAACAATTGTCAATTATTTAATAATATTTAAAACAAATTACACAAATAGATATAAATTGCTTAGCGGAATGATTTATCGACCACATTAAATTCATAAGCACATATAGATAACATACATTGCGAAATGAATTTAATGAATTTAATAGGCCACTGCATGGATTTTCTATACATTTATTAAATTTATAGGGTCACCGTAACTCATTGATAGAAAAGATTCCCTATTTCACAAACTTTCAAATGTTTCTAATAACTTTCTATATTTACCTTTCCTAAAAAGTATAATTCAGATCATTATTAATATTACGAATCTCTTTTTACTGTCACAATTTTATATCTTTATTTCATACCAAGAGTCCAAGTATTTCTTCATACTGAATAAATAGAAAAAAAAACTTAGTTTTATTTAAAATAAAATTCGATTGAATCGATTACCTACATAGTTTTTAGTTTCCCTTTTTTATTAGTTTCCCAGCAAATAAATAATGTAAAAATGTAGATGTGAATTTCGAATAATAGTATGTAGTGCTTTATTTTTGTTGTCTGTTCTAAAGAGTAAAGGGTTCTTAACTGGTCAATGGCCGTTAAACAGGGTCATCTAGGTAGGGGTGTCGTCGTTGCCAAATTCACCCTTGCGCGAGCCAAGAAAAATGGCGCGGAAACAGTTTTCCCGCCCGGCATCAATACGTGCGTCTCGGTAATGTTCGGAGACGCTCGGTATTTTCCGACGAGTGCACCGTGTGAAGCTGGGGGATGTGTTGCTAGAGCTATAAACACTTCCCTAAGAATGGTTAGTTATATTTGTGATAATAGAAATTTTAATCACTTCAATTATCTATTTGTTTTATATATTAATAAAAATAAGAGGAAATTAGACACATAATTAATTTACAATACAATGAAATTTAAATCAATTTTCCAGTTAAAATTTAAGCAAGTTTTCATCTTTATTGATATTTATCTATATTTTCATAATCAATGAAAAAGTTTAGCAAGTCTTAGTTCATGTTAAGAAAGATTATTCAATAATTTAAAAGTTTGAATCTTACTTCTTATGCATATAATACTTTATTGAAAGATTAATGAATACAGATCCGATTCACATTACTAAAGTAACAAAAAACTATTTAAATACACATGATAAAGTGAGGGTAAATCGTTTCCCGTAGTATGGCAACACCGGTCATTGCGTTTGCCGCGGCTCTACGTAGAGCGATTACACCCGCGGCACAGTGTTTATCTCGGTGATCGCGACGAGGCACACAGCCCGCTCCGGCCTCGGTAGTGTTTACGCTGTGATATCAGTGATAAAGTGCCGTGTTTGCCGGCGTTGGTCGCCGATTTCTACAAGTATGACATCAACATTACATAAATAATATTGAAAAATCTAATGATTGAGAAGAGACAAAGTAACTGAACGTCAAGGAAATCTTTATTGAAGAAATGCCAAAATGCGTATTTGTATTTAGAAAACAAAGCTGTTTATTGTATGATATCTATACTAATATTGTAAAGAGGAAAGATTTGATTGTTTATTTGTTTGAATCGCATAGTCCCCTTAACTACTGCACCGATTTTTTAAATTCTTTTACCAATAGCTACATCATACGTGATTGACATAGACTATAATAATAATTTCCGCAGGCAAAGTCGCGGGAAAATAACTAGTTATGTATGAAATTATATGTTGACGCCGATTCTGTCGTATCAATATCTAAAATAAAATAAAAAATGTTTTTTTTTAATTCTCATTATATTCATATGCAGTCAAAGAACTGTAATTGAACTCCTATATTTAGTAGCATTTGACAATTAAACCTAAATTAAGTCTAGTTTATGCAACAGAATTATTACCATTATCTACTTATTTCGTTCTATGTAAAGCTCTAATTTAAACCTAAGTATCTAGATACAGTCTGTATTTATAGGGTGTTACAAAAAGTAATTAATTTGAATTTACTGTTTTAAAAGGACAGTTAAAGGAAACTTAAAATGCCTAGACAAATATTAAATATTATTATATTTAAAAGTAACGTTTATTGTGTATATTCGAGGTCGTGGTATATGAAGAAGTAATCGAAAAAAAACCAAATAGACAATATAAAAATAATAATGTATAAGGACGCAATAATCTCTTTGTATAATTTGCATAATTAAGATGAAAACAAAGCGTTACGTTTGAACATAAATTAACATTTAAATGCTTCGCTCATTTACGAGTATATTCTCTCTCTTGTTAGAACCTAATATTTAAAGAGTACCTTCCTTAAGCATTAAAATATGTAAAATTGTGAAAAAAATATTCAGTCTTATCATAGTCCTAGAACGTAAAAATAAAAGGAGTTTGAAGTAGATAAGACTTAGTTAAATAGACAAGATTCGAATTTAAAACTACACATTTTTTTTTGTGAAACTTAATTCTTGTGACTTTATAGAGAAAGAAAATTAATTCTTTAAAGAGTCTTCAACTATCACCAAACCTATCGATGGATTTTTGCCAACACGCTGAATGATGATACCAATTTTAAATTATAATTATGTATTCGGGTCTAGCTGACTTTTATGTTTTTTTTTTAAAAAGAGGAAATATTTGTTTGCTTAGAGTTCGAAAATAAAAATTCTTTCACTTTGGGAAGCTACATGTGGCTACATCATACGCCGGTTGACTCGAGGGAAACAGTACAAAACTTGAATGTATGTATGCAGATCAAATCGAGAAATGGTTTTGTATAGGTTATTAATTTAGTTTTTATTAAGCTTTTTTGAAGTTGTTTTTAATATGTTTTATTTTATTTTAAGATGAGTTTTTTATTTACGTTAAAATGAAAAAGCTCAAAACTAGTGTAATTCCAAAATGAAACACTCCCTTCTAGAGCCAGCCCCTCAATGCGCACATGCAAAGCTTAATCCTATTGTACCTTTTTGTTACATAATGGGGGCAATTATAATAAATAAATAGACACTGATTAGCGACATAAAAGTTTTAGTTTATCCTATTTATTAGCTATGCGATAACATACCTAACTAGTGTAAATTGTAACGTCTGTTATGTAGGTGCAG